ACATACATACATACATACATACATACATACATACATACATACATACAAACATAAATACACAGCGACCCATACAGACACATACACACAGAAGAATCCAAATCTCCAGTTAAACTGTATTGAATGAAAGCAGACAATCTCAAAATTTTCATCCTATTTATATTACATTCTTGATATTACAAGAGAAAAACAAAAGGATTGAAATAGAGGCAGAGTAGTAGCTGCCAAGGTCGAGGAGAAGGCAGGGTGATTGGGTACCTGAGTGATGATAGTGGAGAAGCACACAAGATGCCCGTATATATGGAGGTAAGGGTTGGTTGGCAATCAGGTGCTTAGTTTTGCAATACGTTGCTGTTAAGAGAAAGCTGGTGAAGATATGGCAGAGCGCTCTGGCGGCTATTGCTTACATGCACACAAGTCTACAATGATCCAAGAAGAAAAAAAAAGTTTAATAAAAGAAATGAGAGAATGACGAATGTAGTAAAAAGAAAGGGGTGGACGGTACTGAGATATGAAGGCTCTGAAGGGCAGGTATCGCTAAGAGTGAGAAAATAACCACAGTGGACAGGGGAAAAGAACCAACCTGAGGGAAAGAGAGAGGGAGGGAGGGAGGGAAGGAGAGGGGAAATAAATGGTGATGATGTGAATGTTTGTCAGAAGTGTAGGAAGAGCCACAGATGAGGCAGAGCTAGGCTCCCCAGGACTGTCTGGGGACCCATGCCCAGCCCCAGGCTCTAATTCTCAGCCTCTGCTCTTCCATCCTGTTCTTTTGCTGTCCTGCTAGCTACTCCCTACCGGTATCTCCACTGTCACTTACCAACTAGGCTGTAAGTAATACTCCCGTGCAGGGTGGAGCAGGCAAGGCATACAAATGAGTCCATCTTCTATCTCCAGTGTTTGCATAGGGCAGGAGCTTCACTTGTCCTTTGAAGGGACATGAGTGACTTTTTCAGTTCTTGGGATGAAGGTGGTTGTACAAAATAAGAAGCCCGCCTGACTAGGGCAGGGAAGGCTGGTGTTCAGCGGGGGTTCCTGTGCAGCCAGGAAAGTTAGCTGGCTGTTATGACAGCTTTCTATGTGAGAGCTCTAGAGACTTGGACACCGGAGACCTGTTTTTTTTTTTGTTTGTTTGTTTATTTACTTTACATTCCAAGGGTGCCGTCCCCACTTCTCAGCTTAGCTCTGAGGGTAGAGCATCTGGCTAAGGTCCTTGAACACCTGTAGCTTCTGTTGCAGTAGAGACAGCCACCTTCTTAGGACAGGGGCAGCTGCACATTCAGGACTCTCTTCTGTTCCACTCCCCACCAAGCTTAAGTATCCAATTCTCAGTGGCTAGAACTAGTGTCAAGATGGATGTGGAATAGAACCTTAGAATACAGGCTCCACCCCAAATGGCATTTGAGTCCTCTTGGTTCTTGCTTTCCCACCTTTTCTTCTTGGTAGAAGAAGCAATGAAAGGTGATTACTAGGCTCTCTCTAGTTGTAAGATGGAGAGCCTGGAATGTAAGAAAAGTGGAGAGACAGCAAGCATTCCTAGCCCAAACAGCTAAGTCAGAGCCATGAGGGGACTGCCAATCCTAACTCCTCTCCTTCCCCTTCATCATCTCCCAGACTCTCTGGCCAGCCTGTGACTTTATCCTTGGTGACCAGGAAGTGTTGTTGCTACCTGCTATCTGGTCAGATTATCCCTGACCTTTGCTCCCAGCCTGCTCTCGTCTGGACTGACAATAGAACTTAACATTTAAGCTCTAGCCGGGATCTCCAGGGTCCTGTGTTAAAGGTTTGATTCTGACATTTAGCTTTAACACAGCTCTTGGCAAAGGTTGGTGTCACCCTGGGCTCTGTTGACAATAATAGCTCCCTTATCAGAAAGTCAAGGTAGAAAGAACTAGACACCCAGGACAGCCACCCAGTCCCCCTCCCCCTTTGTTTTTCCTCTCCTGTCCTAGCTTTTAAAATAGTTTCAAAGAAATCCACTTCCTGAGTTGTTTTTTTTTTTTTAAATACATTCAGGTAATTTTATTCAAATTTCTCCCTGTAATTCTTTGTATCTGAACTCTCACTCTCCCGTCTCTAGAGGGGAAGAAAAGGGAGGAAAAAAAGGAAGATTTCTCCATGGCTGATGAACATCTTAGCATCTTAGGCCCCTCAGAAATGCTGCTTCTCGGTGACCATTTCATGCACAGTGAAAAGCCTAACCTAAAAATGGCTACACTGAGCCACCCATAGATTCCTGCCCCCACTTAATTCATTTCCATTGTCCGCCACCCCCAACCTAAAAATCTGTTCGGTATTAGCTTGAATAATACAGGCAAGCTTTAGCTAATGTTCTCCTAAGTGAAGAACATTCAAAAAGCTCCAAAATTTATTTATTCCTGGTGCGTGCTAGGTGATCAACTGGATGCTGAGCTGATTTTAAATAGCGTTCAGAAGTGGATGGAGTTTTCAGGTATATGAACTTTCAGCATACCCTCCAGTGGCGTGGCCTCAGAAGGCATTCAGAATCCCAGCATCTTAGGAGTGGGAACCGGAGACTCACAACTTCCTCACAAATGACCATTTGCGCACACTTGAAAGGCTCCCTGACAGACCTTGCAGCCCATGAATCATGTACCAGAGGAAGCAAGGCCAGTGGGGTCCACACACAGGGATACACTGATGTGTCCATGGGCCCCACAGTGAGAGGTGTTCTTCATGCTCAGGATATGGAAGGCAGCCTCAAGGGAAGCTATCCTTGGGGAATTCTGCTGAGATCCTACTTCATACAGGGTAGGCGTTTCTTGGGACAGCTCTGGGCAGAGGGACACAGCTCTGGGCAGAGAGGATGACCAACCTCATCCATCTCCTGCCCTCCCTCCTGCCTTCTCTCCTCCCACAACTGACCTGCTTGCTAGATGGAGCATAGAACACACTCATTTTATGCTTAAATTGAACATCTCCCGAGCAAGAAACGCTGCTTTTGAGTGGTCAGCAGTTGGTAAGCCGTCTTGGAGTGGCTATGCCAGAGTGCTGGGCCTTTTTCTGTTAGAAAGCTACCTAGTAAGTCTGGGGAAGGTGGCCGGGCGTTGTCAGAGGCTGAAGTTCTTCCTGCGATAGCATGTCTTACAATGGTGGTCTGTGCTGCCATGCTCCCAGGTATACCGTGTCCCCTAGGACTCCCACTGGAAACCGAGCCTTCCCCTGTAACACTAGTGTATGTGTGACCGGTTCAGTGGCCTATGATCCCAAGAGGTCTAGACCAGCCTTTGCTATCACAGCCCGATTCAATCCTCTTATAAATCCCACAGCATCACTTGCAGGAGCCCGGGAGCCCTGGGATGGGATTCCAGATTGCATGCATGTAAACCAGGGCATGATAGGTCATGCCCCTAATCCTAGCACTCCAGAGGCAGAGGTAGGTAGCCGGGTCTACCTAGTGAGTTCCAGGACAGCAGGGGGCTGCATAGTGATACCCCATCTCTGGAAACAAACAAGAAAGTGGGAGGAAAGAGACTGCACCTAAGCAAAGGCATGGGTCCCAAGAAGCTGGAGCACCTTACAGGGTTAGGGTTTGGTAATAGAAAGACCCTGGATTTGAAGCCAGAGGGAGAGGACTGAGAAGATTAGAACCACCTTTTAGAACCCAGAGTTCCTTTCACTGTAGTCCCCTCTAGAAATCTGGAAAAGCAGGCTTAGCCTCAAGGACTTCCATCAGGTTAAACCTGCCCCAGCCCAGCACCCAGGTTCTATAAATATTAGCTGGCTTTTCCCTACTTCTTCACGTGGGAATGCGCTCTGTGAACCAGGCAGCTTGCTTATGTTAAAGAACCGATACAATGTGGACTCAGACGCTGATGAGAATCTCCTGTCGAGCTTTGTACTATGGGAGAGAGAGCGTTTCTCACCCTCTCTGGGCTGCCATTTCTAACCTGTAGAACAGGGTTGCTAGTCCCTGTTTAACTGAGAACAATCAGAGTTGTTGGTAAACATGAGTATTCCCATTGGTCACCCGGTGTTTGAAAGTCATCCCCTGCCCCCCACCAAGCTCCTAGCATGGATGCTGGGCAGGCAAGAGCCTCCACTTCCTTTTGGGGCTATCCTCTGGAATCTTGAGGAGCCAGAACTGCCTGCTGGAGTCTGCTTCACAGCCCCAAGATAGAAGAGTCTCCCTCCCAGCCCTGACCTTGCATTTGAGAGAGGCCCTGACAGAGTCAGGGGCTACACAGCAGAGATCTCCAAAGACAGACATTCTCAAGGAAAAAAAGAAAGAAAGAAAACCTATGACAGTGTATATTCACCCTCCTCCGGTTTTATCTCTAACCTTTTTTTTTTTTTTTTTTTTAATTTTAAATAAATGCAAAGTGTTTTAAAAAGGAAAGCAGAGAGACTGGTACCACAAAAGTACTTTCCCAGTTCAATCAGAAAGCAGCTGCGGTGAAGTGTAAGGTCCAGGGGGTCGCTCCACCTGGCCATGTCTGTCCCCACTTGAGGGCGGAGCTGCTTCTGGGAGCAAGGTTCTCTCTATCTCCTCCCAAGGCCTGGCCAGGCAAGCCAAAGATGGAAGGTTTCCTAGCCCAGGTATCTCTGTCTGGCTTCGGGAGGCTGGACTCGCTCATCTAGGGGCGGCCGGCAGCTAAGGCCAGCTTCAGTTTGCTGAAGTTTGGACAGCCGAATCTCGTTCCCGTCCCATCGCAATCTGGCAGGCTCCGGTAGGGGGAAAGCCTGCTTTCCGTCCTCCCCCCCCCGCCCCCCGCCCGGGGCGGTCTGGCTTGTGGAGTCGCTGGACTGGGGAGGGACGCAGGCGAAAGGAGACAACTTACTTGTGGAGAGGAGAGCGTCTCTGAACCCCTGGGGCTAACTTCTGGCCGTCCTTCCAAGGCAGTGCAAGTGGCTGTCAGGGTTCTCCAGGGGATTCCCTCGCCTCTGGCATTGCCGACGAACCGGCGGCCGCCCTGAGCCAGTCTGGTGTCGCTGGTCCTGTGGGCAGAGGCGTCTACACCTCCCGCCCCTTCGCCGGTCTGCCTCGCCCTTCTGTCTAATCTAGAGAGCTCGGCGAGAGCCTCTCTGCTGTCCCTCTCCTCTCTGCCCTCCTCTGTTCTCCCTCCCCATCCCCTCCGCCCCCCCCCATTCCCGTCCTCCTCCCTCTGTCCCCCTACAATTGAATCTCTGGATAGAACGCGATTTAAAGAGCCACAGGCAAAGGAGAACTACCAGGAAAGGCAGCAAGCAGTGGGGGTTTGCTCGCACAACGGGGCAGATGGTGCAGATAGGTGGGGGCTGTTGGTATCCGGGGTCGCAGGCACTTGGGAAGGAGTCGGATGCTGGATGCCAGGCAGAGAAAGCGGGCAGCCTCCTCCCTCCTCTCCTGCCCACTCTTCTCCTTTCTCCCTTGGTTCACTTCCTCCCTCCTGGACCTCTTTGGTGATGCTCCGGGTGCTTCTGGCCGCTCTCGATGCCAGGGTCAGAGACCTGCACGGGCGGGTGTGAGTGTGTGAGAGCTTCCTGGGTACACGCGGGAACGCTCGCGTGTGCGTGTGTGATCACGCGCGTGTGTGAGAGCCCCTGCGCGCGTGTGAGCGCCCGCCTGCCTGTGTTTAGAGGTTGCAGAGGAGCAGACAGAGAGACTTAGGGCAGAAAACGCAGACTCAAAGCCTTGCCGGGACTGCGCAGGCACTCTGGGCACACTGAAGGGGCTGTGGACACAACTTCTGTGCAGCAGGTGGGGACATTCCCAGGAGTTGGAGTCACAATCCTGGCAGCACCTTCAGCTGTATCCCCACGCCGATGGGTGTGGCTCCTGTGGCTGGGACCAGCCTATGAAGGTCCGAACCCAGGGCTGGAGGTGCAAAGTGTAGAGAAGGGAGAAGGGAAGTGGGCCTTTTGTTGGGGCGGTGTGCTTAGGCCCCCTTTTCCTGTGTCCTCTATAGTTAAATGGGAATGGCTACTTCTCAGAATGTGTATGGTCTTTCATTGAAATTCAAGTGTGTGTGTGTGTGTGGGGGGGGGGCGGTTGAAGAGATGGCTCCGTGGCTAAGAGCACTAGCTGCTCTGCCAGAGGACCGGGGGTTCAATTCCTGGCACCCACATGGCAGGTCACGACTGTCTGTAACTCCAGTTCCAGGGGATCCAACACACAATACACATAAGATTAAAATAAATAAAAATAAAGCATTTTGGGGGGCCTGGAGAGATGGCTCAGAGGTTAAGAGCACTGCCTGCTCTTCCAAAGGTCCTGAGTTCAATTCCTGGCAACCGCATGGTGGAGCATCACCATCTGTAATGAGATCTGGTGCCCTCTTTGGCATGCAGGTGTACATGCAGAGTACTGTATAAATAATAAAAATAAATAAATCTTAAAACAAACAAAAAGTCAAGTGAGACCTGGATCATCTCCAGGTAAGGTGGGTGGCCTTACCTCTTGCTGGTCCTCTTTGTTTTCTTTTCTTCTCGTCCCAAAATTCTTCATATAAAATCTTAAAAACACGTCATTTCTGAAGCGAAGTTCTATGTCCATCTCTGAATTAATAAGTATACTAAATTGAAAGCTGTACAATGATGGCATTTAGGGCACGCTCCCGAGTCCCCATGTTACATCAAGCTCCCAAACCCACCAGCCTTCCAGCCCTCTGTATTATTCTGTACCCACACTCTCTGCATCTAACCAGATTTCCTGGTTATATTTCATTATATTTCCGTGTGACATCCCCCATGTATTGACCACACTGGCTGCTGCTCTGGGAGCCAGAGCATCCTTCCAGGAATCCACTGTTGGTCTCTGCCACAGCCTGCATCCTTCTGCTTGCAGGTAGAGACTCCCACTCTCCGTCTTGTGTGGACTGCTCCTGGCCTTGAGCAAAGAGAGCCCTATTCTTCAGTTCCCGTGAACTGCAGGAAACACGGGGACGTCACTGCACAGGGAGGGCTGCTCTCTGGGAGAGCCAGCAGGCGACTGCGTGCTGGTGCCTTCAGGGGAGGCTATTGAACTCAGTGGAGCCGACTCTAGCACCTCTCTTTCTGTTAGCTACTCTTTGGGGTTCAGCACCCCAATGCCAGGCTTAGAGTAAGCTGTCTTTGGCCCTTAAACCAAACACAGCCTAACTGTGCTTTTGTATCCCTGGGCCCTAGCTATGGTGTTTGGGAGGATTATTTATCAGGTGAATGGTGGCTATGACAAGGATGCTGGTTTATTCCATGACAAGGAGAAACATGTCTGACACTGGGCCTGAAGTGCATCTGCATGGTCTTGCTGGAAAGCAGTACCCAGGAGGCACAGTCCTTGCCCACCTAGGAACAGAGCTGAGTGCCATCAGGCCAGTACCTGCCCTGGTTACTGACTGTGGCCTATGCTACTAATCAGGAGATCTGTCAGTTTGTCCTTTGAGGGACTTTTGGCTCTTTCCACTATCTTAGGGTTACTATTGCTATAATGCGATGACTAAAAGTAAGTTGAGGAGGAAAGGGTTTATTCAGCTTACACTTCTACATTCATAGTCTATCACTGAAGGAAGTCAGGGCAGGAACTCAAGCAGGGCAGGAACCTGGAGGCAGGAACTGATACAAATTCTTGCGGTATAGCTTACTGACTTCCTCAGCCAGGTTTCTTAGAGAACTTAAGGCCACAAGCCCAGGGATGGGACCACCCATAATGGGCTGGGCCCTTCAATATCAGACACTAATTAAGGAAATGCCCTACAGCCAGAGCTTATGGAGGTGCTTTCAGAATTGAGGTTCCCTTCTTCCAGATAACTCCACCTTGTGTAAAGTTGACATAAAACTAGCCAGCATGTTCATGTCCATTAGGTGCTGGTAAAATGTTTGGTGGGGAGGATTTGAGTATTTGATTCCCTACTTGTCAGGAGTGGCTGGGCTGTGTTGCTCTGAGATCCTGCTAATTCCCAACATGAAGCATTTGCTGAGTCTTGGCTCCATGTTTCATCCTGCAGAGGCCTTTGGAGTAATACAGAGAACATGGTGTTCTGTTTGCCTCATGGTGGAACATGGCAGAATTTGCAGAGAAACAGAACCGGCAGTGCTGCTTTGACAATACTCTGTCAGTGTTGGGATCTTAAACCTGAGACAGAAAATCTAGGTCCAGATTTTAGCCTAGGCCTGAAAAAGTAGGCGGGGTAGGTAGGACCTGGGGCCCTAGTTCTGACTGGTGCTCACAAATTTAGGGTGTTCTAGACTGTGAGAGAGCCCAAATGGCATCTAAGGATAAGTGACAGGACTCCTGAACTACTTAGAGAGCTTGGAAGGTGCTAAGTGTGTCTTTGATTGTCTGGGAATTAATGGGAGGTACAAGAAAGTAGCAGAATGAGTGTGTATCATGACTGTTAATTAGAGTGCACACCCACAGTCTCTGTTCTCTCTTATTTGCTTCTCTTTCCTTCTTTCACAAGCAGGAGCCGAATCCACAGCTAAAGTTTTATTTTCTTTAGAATATGACCCTTACAGGAAATTATTTTTTCTCCTATTTATAGAAATCCCATTTGCATTTATGAGGCCGGTAATGTCTCATAAATATTTCCCGCCAGATAAAATATTAATTAAAAGAATTTGGTGAGTTACACTCCGAAATCCTAACTAAATCTCTCCTAAGACAAATATTTTAAGTGCTTTTTTTCTCATGCCAGGACAATCTCTCATCCATCACTGTGTATGTTAATAAGCTCTCCAGGAACAGTAGATATCGATCAATGAAATTTCCCCAATGTTTAACTAATAGTCAGGTGGTACCCACGCAACTAAAAAAACTAAAAACAATAAGCATTGCTGATAGGACTGCCCTTACAGTGGCACCTCCTTTCTCCTCAAGAGTTCAAAACCTGAATTTGGGTTGTTTTATGGTTTCTTTACAGTGAAATTGCGTGTGCACATGCTTGAACACACACACACACACACACACACACACACACACACACACACGCACACACACTCAGCTATCCAGTCAGTGAACACTGACTGTGCACCCTCTCCTCATTTACTGTCATACTCTCACTGGTTTCAGTTTCCAGCAGCAGTCAGCTGTGGTCTGAATAAGTGAAATGGTAAATGGCAGAAAGGCTCGGTTTATAAGCTTTCAGTTGCTTGCCAGTCTGAGCAGAATCATGACACCTCACACATCGCACCTGGTCCCGTCAAGGCACGCGGTGTCCAACGGCATGAGAGACGGACTCACCGGGCACATACTCGGGAACCAATGCTGCTGTCCAGCCGTTCAGAGCCTTACTTAATTCCTCGGAGGCAGCAGGGCAGTTCTGACAGGCCACACAGACCCCACAGCCATAAACAGATTCCTTTTGACAGAATGGTGAAAGTTCACAACTTTAGAAGAAAGAACTTTCATCTGCCCCAGGTGGCTGCAGTTTTAATAGTAAGATCGAAACTCCTGCCTGTGGGATTTTAGAGAAAGGATAAGGAATTTGTACTAGCCTTGCTCTTTCTTCAGGTGCGCTAGGTAAGATGGGGGAGACAGACACCCTACTGTGGTCAAACAGGGTGACAAGTGCTTTGCTTGGCTGGAGAGGCCTTACATTTGTGCATGTACGTGTAGGGAAAGCAGCAAGCGTTCAGGTACTCCATGGGGGGAGGAGGAGATGTCTGGAGACAGCAGAGGTTTAAGGGGAACTGTGAGGCATTGCTCATTCACCGGCTGGCCTGCAATGTTTGAGACACTGACAGATGCTATAAGCGAGGGAAACACGCATGATGGTGGGCTTAGATAAAAAACGCCTCCTATCAGATGGGGAAAGGTCAGCAGGTGTACAGGGAATGTCAAATTCACAACTGTGGGTTTTCATTCCCCTTGGACGGCTGGGTTACTGTGTGGACCTGATAAGGTTGCTAATGAAGGCCAGAGAGAGTGATCAGCTGGGGCTGACTTCTGACTTCGAGGCTGTGAAGAGGACATGCCTGGAAAGGAGGCTGGGGCTTTCAGAGAGGAGTGGGTGGGTATGAACCAGATATGGCCAGGTAAGCCCTCCGGGTGGGGGACTAGAAGTGTGTGGTGTGGGGGAGAGAGGGCTTTGGGGAGAAGACTGATGGCAGCCTGTAATTAGCTGAGTGCCTACTACGC